GTGATCTGACAGGGATGGTTCGGTTGATACTCTCCAGTTTTTGATGAGGTCTCTAATACTAGAGCTGACTAAAGTTATATCTAATACTTCCGACCTTGTTCTAGTCACGAATGTAGGCATAGTACCAACATTCAAGACCTCAAGGTCGGTAGTCATAAGAAATTCAAGCAAACACTCACCTCTATAGTTGATATCCGTGCTTCCCCAGATAACATGATGTGCATTTGCGTCGCAGCCTAAGAGTAGTGGCAGGCGCTCTCTTCTGCAATATTGGATCAGCTCTTGTACCTCCGGCGGTGGTGTCATTAGTCCATCTCCAGGAAAGTATGCTGAAGCAATTACTATGTTGCGGATGCAGCCCCCAATGTCGAGTTGTACGACAATGGGTGTCGTCCCGTGACATAAATTCTGTAACACACATTTAATTAATGTCATTTCTTATGAGAATACAGGCTCTGGGTGATTCCTGCCTGTTATCGTATACTACCTTTGAAAGTTTGCTTGACAAACCTTTGATTTGCCCATCATTGATCCAGGGTTCTTGGATTATAACTAGTCCAAGATCTTGGTTAGCGAACATTCGTACAATCACATCGGAGGATGCCCGTTTGTGTTGCAGATTGATTTGCGCTAATCTGGTGAATGTTCTAGTAATGGGAGGAGGGATCAGCAGGTGGTCTGTTTGGACTATCCTGTCCTCCCCTCTGCTGTTCCTTATTCTGATCCGCCAGAAGCGTCTCTTCATCTTCCTTGCTGATGACCTCATTCTCAGAAGAAGAGTTGACTTTAAGAGATTCGCGGCTTAAGCCCTAGGTCTCTTGCCCCTCGTCTCCCTTTGATGCAGTCTCATCGGTGAGGGTGTTCTCCAACAGAGAAGAGACGGTCGAAGCTGTTGGTTCAATGTCCATTTTCTCTTCTCCTCCGCTTCTTAAGGCCAGATACCGGGACTTGCCCAAACCTGTAGTGGATGGAGTGTCCCTTGGCCTTGATAGCTTCCTTACTTCTGGTATCGATCCCAATTGTAAGGACTTGGACGTGGCCTTGTTCTTTCGCGTTCATAACTCGCCACCTATTTGTGGAGAGTTCCGCGTTCTGGACTTCAATGAGTCTCAGAAGAGCTTTGGTGTCTTGCCCTTTGCTCCTTGGGAGGAAGATACTGATCGTATGCGACTTGGGGATGTCGTCTCCTCTCCGTGCAACGAGTTCAGGCCCCTTCCATGCTTTCAGTCTGGGTGACATCTGAACCAGCCATTCGGCTATCTGCTCAGATTCGCAGTCCACCAATACCATTCCCGAGCGGAAATGTATACCAGAGAACCGCAAGCCCCTGGCTGTGCTTCCCAGCATTTCTGCAACTACGGCCTCCTCCAGCGCCGTCAGTTGTTCGGGGTTAAGCATTACCTGAGAGTATTCCTTAGGCAATATCCCGATTCTATTGAGTTACGTTTTTCAATAGACATCAGTTTCACCCCTTTTTATGCAGCTACATAAAAAAATAATAGTGTTACCAAGCTCACTCACATATTGGGATCTACAAAATCATGAGTGACAGGATCAGAAATCGCATGATACTTAACTTATCACTGTTTCCATTTCCCAGATCAACCGACTACTATTTCCCTTATCTTAATAGCTCTTAGTTTTCGTTGCAATCTCATCCTATCGAACGTTATTGCTTTGGCTTTATTAGCCTCTTGGATTTATTTTCACAGGATCTTATTTTAATTAGAGAATTTGAGGCCAAAAAACCGAATAGCGGGAGTTTTACCGCAATTCCCAATAATCTTTTCAGGTTAAAACTCAATTCGTTAAGTGAAAGGTGGCTCGTTAGGTCAGCATTGTTTCGGTTCAAGGGGGCGGCTGATATATTGACCCCGGATAGGTAGAATTGGGGTTAAGACGATAAAACCAAGAAAGTTGAAAGAATTCTTTATTTTAAAATGGTGCTAGATTGAAGGAATTTGTTTGCTTTTATGAATTTTATAAGACCACTTTGAGCTAGATTTCAACCCTGCTTGCTCAAATATTGGAAAAAAATCTCTTTTGAGACTAAGATGGAATTTTTCGTTTCATTAAAGTTGAATAAAATAATATTTTAGCGTTACTCAATTGAAAATTTAAAAGAAATCGCCAAGACATTGTCAGTACGTGCTTTTTGATCTTTTAAAATTTAATATTTGTAGTCCAGGATCTCTGAAAAGTAGGTATGCGATTTATTTCAATTATTATAACTTCAGTCACAAAATAATACAATGAAAATTCTTTCAAGACCAAACAAACAAACAGACAAACATAAGAAGATTTTATTATGTATCTTGCGCCAGATGTGGCACAACAACAGAAGGGCACAATGCAATATCCTTACATTGGAGGCAAGGCAAGCTTTATTATGTATCCTGAGCAATTTGCTGTTTACGATGCGACTTAACCAATATGCTTTGTTCTTTGCTGATGTTTTCGATTTTATTTTAGAATATTTTCAGCCCCACCAAATTTGAATTTAGGCCTAATGGCAGAAAAAAACAGTTTTAATTTGAAATTATTATAACTTCTGGGCATTTTTTCTTTTCCTATAATTTCCTATAAAATTCTTGAATGATTTATAAAAATTATTTTTATACAATGACCACAAAAATCACACTATAACTACTTAGTCAAGAAAACCCCCAAATTTATTATTATTATTTTCGGTTGGTTCACTCAGCAGAAAAGCCATACTGAAAATTTAATCATGTTTTGATCTATTTAGATGCAAAGCATTTTGGTGTTAAACCAACGTTGTAGCATGATAAAGTGCCTGATTTTGCAAGTAATATTTAATGTTTCCAACGTCAAAATGCAATTTATGTGTGTTATGGTGCAGATTTTATGGATGTTGAAGAAAAGAATGTAGGTACCTACTTGATTGTTTATGATTTTTCAAACCGTTTAATCGCCTTTCTCATACCTTAAATTGAAATTATCCGCAAAAAAAATGATGGCAATAAAATTTTAAATCTTCCTCTATGGAAAAAAATACATTTTTTTTTAGTGGCGCAAAGACTGCCCAACGCCATTAGGAATGGCAGCAAGACCACAGGAATTTTATATTTTTATTATACGTGACGCTGTCTTCTTGTCGAATCACAATGATTTTTAGTATTTTCGGAGTAGCTATATGTTCCTCTGTAGCTACAATTTCTGAACTGATGATAACAGAGGCCACTGAAATTCAGTATAATGTTACGAAAATGCATCAAAAATGCGGCGCCAGGATTTCGAGAAAATTACTTGTTTACGTCGGGCGGCGCGTCTTTCTGGGAATTCCATTATGTATTCGATTCGATGTTTTTTTAGATAGATCCTGAGTGCAATTTCAACTCACTTCTCACCACGGAGAAGGGTTCTCAAGAATTAAACTAGAACAGTGGTGTAGTAGAAATGGCCTTGTACTGGATAAAACAGTCCCCTATTCTGAGGAGACCAAATGCCAATGCCGAGCACTCAAATCGAACCCTTCTGGACATTGAAGATGGCACAAGCACTAGGTAATACATTTTTGACTCAAATTTGAGAAATCTTGGAGTGAAGCCATTTATGTAGGTATCTACTTTTTGGTAAATTAAAAAAATGAATATGAAGAATAAGATGCCGAAAAAAATGACTAAAACTAAAATGGAGACAGTTTTGGAGTAATTCTAAATATAGTTGGAAGAGAGGACCAAATAATAATTAAATAAATCCTATTTTGTCCCAAAAATAGATGTAGGCATATTTGAAAATGAGAAAAGGAATCTTTTCCTTGCTATTTTGTCGATGATGATGATATTTATGATCGAAATATAGAATTCACTTCAAGGACTAGAACAAACTTATCAGGTAGTAAAATATAAAAATTAAGAATACAATACTACTAGTACAGAAAAATTGAATAAAAGAAATAATAGAAAAATTAATAATGGAAGAATCAGTCAGTTCCAGCTCCAATTATACTATGAAGATAATGACGGTGCCGAAAAATACAAGAAACCCCAAGTAAATTGTTTTAAGTTTTTTTTTTTTGGAAAATTTTTGTATAACATTTTTTTTTTTTTAAGTTAAAACACGGAATAAACCTTAGAATAAAAAATTATTACCTCATTCACTTTTTCAATTTATTTTGCAACAACAAAATTACAATTATTGCACCTATAAAAATATAACATAAAACCGTAATTACTTATTTAAACTATTCCTCGTAAATCATCAAATTAAGGCTTCAATTAAAATTTTAAAGCTGGGGTCATTTTAAGGCTGAAGTTCGTAGCCAAAACTCGTGCAAAGATCTCCAATAAATTAGCCAAACTAGCAACATTCTGCCACATCAGACCGTAAACTTAAAACCAGTGAAAATTCATGGGGGCAGAAAATAAACCCGCAGGTACAAGAAAATTTATCATTATCTTGATAACAAGGTAGTTTCTGGACAGAGTTTTCCCAATTACTTCATTATCTTGCTTCGAATAACCCAAATAATAATTTTAGAATTAATCAAAAGAAATTAAAATTGCTTTAAGGTTGTTTTTGGAATAAGTTTCTAGTCATCACCGCAACAAATTTGTTATCAATAAAAAAGATAAATATTTGTCCATCACAAAAATATTCGCTCGCCTGCTTCTCATTAGAAGGGTAAAAAATAAGAATAATTACAAGCTGAGTGTTTGATCTTCTCACATAATTTTTCACTTGCGAAGGTATGACTCTCCTATGATTATCATTTTGTCCCAAGAACGATTGGTCAATATGCTCCAAAAAAAAATTAATTTTTTTGATTTAAATAATACAAAATTATGGGATTTCAACTGTTTCAATTAAAAGGTTTACCTACCTTTATTGCTATTGCTTGAGAAAACCGAGACAAGAGTATTTCTACAATTTGAAAGCGATAATCCGGCTTTCAAATTCTGAAATTACATAAATTATTTAAACCAGGAGTAAAAACAAGATTTTTGTAACTATTTTTTTTATTTGATTTTTTTCAGTAACTGCAGCAATAGAAATCCAAGCAGTGGAAGGAAAAAGTGTAAACCTACCTTGTGACGTCACACCACCCGGACACGATAAAATCTACATGGTTTTCTGGTTCCAGCAAGGTTCCGGATACCCCATCTACAGGTAAACTATTTACTTAGGGTAACAGTTGGGACACTAATTATTGTGACCCTAAACTTGGCACCTTTTCAGATTTTGTTTCCAACCTGACACTCCTTTGATGATGATTTTAGCAACTTGAAATGATGATTTTTCAATGTTCATTTATGATTAAAAATATGTAGGTACTTCTGAAAGCCGAATGTACGAAAATCAAGTCGGAAAAAAAAAAAAAACTAATCAGAGAAATAAAAACGTCTTAACATGTGTGAAAATAATAAAACTTGTGGATTCAAGTTCAACAACTTGAAATCGATTAATTTATTTTCAACAAAAACCATGCAATTGTCTACCTAACGGAAACGCATATTTTACAGTACAGATTTTGGAAGAATAATTCGTGGGTTCGGCAAGCTGCGGTTTGGCATTGACATTAGTGAATCGTAATCACCGCATCCGTATAGGTACAATATTTTGGTGAATTTAGCCACACGCCATTTGTGTGCAGCACAACTGATTTTTCAAATATCTTTAAGAGGGGCTATTAAATAAAATGTCATTTGCAGACCTTCACAAATTTCTGTTCAATTCCAAATTTAGACCACTTCTCAGTGAAATGAAGTTATGTTCATAACAATAATAGATTGGAGTATGGTTCGAAGCATTTTTGGTTACAAAATATGCATTCTAAATAGTAAAATTATTACCAATTTTGTTGACAACAATATGCAAATTTTGCTCACGGATTTAAATGAAAAAGGGATAAACACATAGAGTAGCACACCAATAATAAATTTCTAAAATTGCGGATAGTAAAATGCTGGAAAAAATGAATATAACAGAATTTTCGAAAATTATAATGTTTGTATAACAAAATTAATCAAAATCTGCCAAACAACGAGGTGATTGCTGTCATTTTCAGCAAAGACTCAAACCAAACGTGTGTTCAGCGCTTCTCTAAAAGATGTCGCTGAGCTCGGGAAGGGTAGTCACTTCTTTTAAACGCCAGTAAAAACTGTTTCACCTAGCTAAAAATGTGAAATACTATTATTTCATTTGTATCTGAAAAAAACTATTTAGTCCACTGTAAATTACTGTGTAAACGAATTGATATTGAAGATGTCGCCATCTACTTGTAAATAAGTCAATCACTTACAGAGAATTTGAACACCTGTGATTAAAAAATATTTAATGTATGTCATAAAGCCCAAAAGATGGCGCGCTGGCTCTTATCTGATGCCCCTCTTAAATCAATTTTTGAACAAACATATTATTAATCGGGTGATTTCATAATTTGATTTCTTGTCAGAATAATTATTATAATAATATAAGATGGAAATTTGCTATTCAATCATAATTTTAACAATTTTGAAAATTATGTAAATGCAGTTAAAGATATATGAACAATAAATTTAAATCCTATAAATACCTACACCACGGAATAATAAAATATTTTATCTACAAGCGTTTGGTTTTGACATTTTTACATAAGCGTTTTTCTAGTATTGGAGTAATGTTATGAAACTCATAACACAACTAGTGGTGTTATGGACTAGGTTATGAATCTATAACACAACTAGCTTTTGTGATTTGACAAATGTCATAGTTAAACGAGTGAAGGTAAAATGAAGGTAGAAACGAAAATTGAAAAAACATTTTCTTATTTTTTGCTTTATAGATAAAATGTTGTACATCACACGTGCGTTTAAACATGACTACAAAACTCGTGTGATTAAAATGACTCGGTCTACGACCTCGTCGTTCTAATCTTTGTATAGTGAGTGGAAAATGACAGTGACATAGAATGGTCGATCCATCGGTAATATTTGATGAGAATAAAAACGCAGGGCACCTTTTTGTGTTTTGACAAATATCATAGTTAAACCTGTAAAGGTAAAATGAAGGTAGACAACTACTAATAAACGAAAATTGAGAAAAAAATCCTATTTTTATAGATAAAACGTTGTACATCACACGTGCGTTTAAACATGACTACAAAACTCGTGTGATTAGAACGAATCGTTCTACGATCTCGTCGTTCTAATCTTCCACACTCGTTATTGTAATCAGGTCCATAAACGCACTTGTAATGTAAATAACTATTATATCCTACTGAACTATTATAACCATATAATACCTTGGTTTTGGTTACGATAATCATGAACAGGGTCTTAACTCCCGCGCGGGAGATAAGGATTTCATAACTCTCGCTTTTACCTTGGACAGGTAAAATTTTGAGATAAAATAGAAATTTTGGTTTGGGGTTTATGCCTTTATAAAAATGGATAAAATACGAGCAATTGGTGTCCCACAAACTTTGCTCTGGGGTATTACCACCCTCATAATTTTTTTGATACATAAATAACTATTTGTCTACGACCCACACTGTTGAGCTTATTACATAACTCACTCTATCCTGTTTGAGTTACGTAATAAGTTGTATTATCGTACTTAGTGATGTAATATAATTCACTAATGATGTAATGAGCTCATCACGTAACTCATTTTTATTGAAAACGGCACTTTTTAAAATTTATTTATTCGAAAAAATTATAAATATAATCTATTGTGAAAAATTAAAACCATCTCGAATACCTACATAAACAAAATCTGGGTCATACATAAAATGTTGTATATCACAGGTACGGTAAGCATCAAAACATTCTACCACCCAATCTAGCCATAGCCCGGAAACCTGGCCAATCAAATTCGATGTGGCTATTTTGGGTGGCATAATGTTACTACATGCGCTGCATCTGGGGTCAGAATGTCAGGTCCATGATGGAGCTATTTAAAGGGTCAGAATGTTATTGCATGAGCTAGATTAAGGGTCAGAATGTTACAGGCGATACAGCATTAGTATTAAATTTTTTTTTTAAATCTATAACTGTCTTTTGTACGTGCTATATACAATTCAGAAATATATAATTTAATAATTTAAAAGGTCGGTAACTAACGTGCAACCAACTGCTATTGCTCGACGAAGACCAGGAGTAGTGAGGGGATGCAAAAGAGCTCCCCTATAGGTGGCCCAGCCCAATGTGAACCATTAAGAAAAAGAGCAAAACGGCGACATAATTTGGCAGAAAATGTTGGAACAAATCGTCCCAATGCCTTAAAACATTGTTCTGCACATTAAACTAGCTTTCCAAAATAATGGTCGTTTGCATCGACCATTTTATGGAAGACTTAACGATAAGTAGGTATTCCTTAAAGTGACATTCTCCCATGTAGGTAAAAATGTCATTTTAAGGGTAGACTTATCGGTAAGGCTTTCCTAAAACAGTCGGTGCAAACAGCTATTAATATAGGTAGGTACAATTTTTCCTTTTTTTATTTTATGTACCATCGTCACCAAAAGTATCTGGGACAAAAATAATGCAGAATAATCTCCTGGACTAATTCTACTGTCATTCCTTCCAATGCATTTGATTCATAGTTTGACATATATCTGACAAGAAAATTCATATAATAGTACAAGAGCTAATATAATGCTGTCCCAGTTACTTTTGGTGACGATGGTACGTGCTTTTTTAATTAAGGTAAAGACCTAATATATGTTCATTTTATATATTTTTTTCAATATATGTACCTGTAATACATATTATAATGTATTTATTTATTTAAATCTCTTATATTTTGTTGATGATACCGCTAACTCTCCTAAGGCTTAAAATTATCTTCTATAAAAGTGATATCTTCATATTTCAGTAACAAGAAGTAACTATAAATACAAGCTTATTCAGAAAATTAAAAAAGGGAAGAAAATTTTACAAAAACTTAACTTTTTAAATATTAGGAATTCAGATTTTGCTAAATTTAAATTTATTAACCCCTTATATCCAAAATCCAAAACTAACAATTTATAGTTATTTATACACCAAGTGAGTTAAATGAATTTTTATTCATAAGAAGAAAGTTTAACCCACGAGCCCTAGCGAGTGGGTTAATTTTCTTCGAATGAATGAACATTTTAACTCACGTGATGTTTACAAAATTCTATCCCATTTTGTGGAAATTTAGAAAATAAAGTACAAAGAAAAATGCTGGGAGTGAGTTAAAAATATTTTAAATCACTGAGGTTTCAGATTTTTAGTTGAGCAGAGTGACCTAAAATGCCGAGAGTGAGTTAAAATATTTTTAAATCACTGAGGTGATAAACGTCTACTTACCTTTATTGTTATGCGTTCAATAATGTCATTTTTGAACGTCAAAATGGGATAAATCAATATATTCATGAAAAAAATCTATAGGGAACACAAATAATTTCTAAATTTCTGAATTGTATAACACTTACAAAAGATAGTTATAGATTTTTTAACATCAAACATTGTTTCTTAAATGTTATACTAATGCTCTATCGCCTGTAAAATTCTGACCCTGAATCTAGGCCATGCAATAACTTTCTGACCTTTTAAATAGCTGCATCATCGTCCCGACATTCTGACCCCTGATGCAGCGCATGTAGCAACATTATGCCACCCAAAATAGCCACTTCGAATTTGATTGGTCAGTTTTCCCGGCTATGGCTAGATTGGGTGGCAGGATGTTTTGATGCGTACGGTAACGCTCATTACGCCACTCGTATGATTACCGCGACTCGGTCTACGACCTCGTCTTGGCAATATTTGCCACTCATTACTGTAATGAAGCTCATAACGTACTAGAAATATAAATAACTATTATATCCTACTGAACTATTATTACCATATAATACTTTGGTTACGATAATCATAAACAGGGTCTTAACTCCCGCGCGGGAGTCAAGGATTTCATAACTCCCGCGCGGGAAATAAGGATTCCATAACTCCCGCTTTTACCTTGGATATGCGAACAAACTCGATCGTCTTTTGCGGCTGTCAGAAATGATTGCAACTGCAACCGTATAACCAACGAGGCTGAGGAGAGTACACAACCAACAAGTGCGTAATCGAATTTTGGACTGTCCGAGCGGATCAAGATCCTTTTGCTTCTTTGTAGTTAGACCCAAAACTATGAGAAAAATACTACTGCAACTTGACATT